ACTCAAGGAGGGCTTACAAGATACCTCAGTGGACCAAGTGCCTGCTTAGGCAAGCGCAGAGACCAGGGTTCAATCCCCAGCGCCAGATGCTGCACTGGAGCCGCCCTTGGGCACACTGAGCCAATGACTGAGTCCGAGCCTGGTGGCACATGTTTATAATCCCATACACTCTTGAATATTCAGTGAGTCATGAAGAACTTGGATACTTCCTATTACAAGAAAAATGTTTATTTTATTTTATTTTTTTATTTTTGGTGGAACCGGGTACAAGCAAATGTTAATGCCACTATAATATACCACAAGGGCTGGGGAGATAGCTCAGCAGCTTAAGCACCTGCCTGGTAAGTGCAAAGTCCTGAGTTTGATCTCTGGTACTGTAAAAACAAAATAAAAATAAAATGTTTGAATGTATAATATAAAGTACCACAATTTATGAAACAAATGACATCAGAAAATTAGAGTGATTTTATTTTATTTGGTCAAATAAATAAACTAATGGGGGCCAGGGAGATGGCTCAGTAGAATAAGTGCTTCCCTGGCAAGCACAAGGGTCTGAGTTCAATCCCTGGTTCCGCCAAAAAAAATAAATAAATAAAAATAAAAATAAATAAATAAACTAATGATGCACTTCAAAACCTTAGAAAAATCTAGTACAAGCAAGGAAATCACAGATCAGAGTGCAGGGGCCAGGGAGATGGCTCAGTGGAATAAGTGCTTCCCTGGCAAGTACAAGGGCCTAAGTTCAATCCTTGGTTCAAAAAAAAAAAAAGATCAGAGTGAAAATTAATGAAATTGAGGCCAAAAAACCCCCAAGACAAAACCAAGAATGAATCAAAGAGCTGTCTCCAAAAGAATAATTAAAATAGACAAACCTGTAGCTAAACTTACCAAAAGAAGGGAAGACTAATGCAATTATAACTAAAAAGGTAAATTCACGATAGACATCCCCAAGCCTAGAGGCAGCCCAGCAGTGGCTCCCAGTCCCAAGAAGAATCTGAGGTGTGGCAGCTCCCCGGCACTGGGTGTCTTAGCTCCTCGTTCATCCACAAGCTGAGAGGATGTCTGCCCTTATCATTTTTCCAAAGACTGGGCTTAA